ATTTTTAATAAAATAAGATTTATCTTACATCACGTTAATTAATAATAATTGTTATAATTGTTATATATGTATTCAACATTATTTATCCTTTAAACATTACTTTCTCGATTCCATTGTAACTTATATTGCAACTAGAATCTCAAAAACTAGATAGCGCGTGATTAAACATACTTTTTGATTTTCATTTTTTCTAATTACATAGACTGTTAGTCACTTAAATATTCGCGGATATTGTTAATTTCAATGTCGAAAATACAACAAATAATCTTTTTAAGCAATGGTTTTCGTATAATATATAGTGTTTATACATGATATATATATATATATTTTTTTAAGTTTTTATAACAATTAATAATTGCAATTGTTCATTAAAAATAACTGTTGATATCAACAGGTAATTGCATTATCATTTTCATCAAATTCTTAATATAAATACTCATAATAAGTAGCAAAGAAATATGCATATTTTATTAATGCGCTTTTGACGGTTGTATTTATCAAAATTTGTTATTTTAAGCGGCATAAATAGATTCCTCTCGCCGCGTAGTACTAAATTAAAAAAAAATGAGTCATTTATCATAAATAGTTATCGAGAAAAGCGATGTCACAGTTGCGCTGTTGATTTTGAAGACGCGCGAACAGTTTTTTTCGGTAGTGAAGATGCGTCTCGATCGCTTCCCCCACTCCGCCACCGCGCTCGAGCTATTGGAATTTCGATTGCTTGGCCGATTTTAAACAATTATTTAAAGTTACTTAGCATGCCCCGTAAACTTGATATTTTATTGAAAGACAGTGCTGCGTCTTCCGCTCACGGCCATACATATTTTTTTTCGATACTCATCTAAATGTTTAAACAATAGACCGTCAACTTTGACTGCCCGTAGCTCCTTTGTTTATTAACGAATCTTGACGATTTTTTTTTTAAATAATGGTCTTTGAGAGCTCTATCGATGTATGTAATCAAATCGCGCATAAGTATTAAAATATAGTAAATATTTCATTTTGCAACTAAGCAAATTTACAAAATAAATTTCCTAGGTCGCAAAATTGAATTTTTTTGAAAAATAACAATGGGATCCGATAGCTTATAGTGAAATACACCAATAAAAAATTTAGCGCGATTACGGGTGACCCTCAAACATGTGGGGATTGATTATTAGTTAATTTGTTTATTAGGCCATAACTCGCAAAATATTCAACTTACGGTTTCCAGCTTTCGCACAGATTATTCGTCAGTAAAAATGAATAGTTGGAGATAAGCAATACACATCATTGTTATTAATAAGCTTGTTATTAATGTTTATTTAAATTGCAAAAATTAATGTTTTTTATTAATAATTTTTGACTGGATCAATATTTTTTTTCGTACGTGGGTTCGTTTTGTTCGTCTTGAAAAGACAAACAAAAAAGAATTTAACTTTTTTTGCAGTAAAATCGTCCGGACAAAAGTTATAAGTGAAATGTGAAATTCGTGAAATTTAGTTAAAATTTCACTAAAATCACAGTTTCTATGGCTTATAAACAAAAATAGTATTTTTTGATTTTTTACGGGTAAAGATATGTTGTTATATACCACTTTTTCTATCTTCTCACAAAAAATCAGGCACTTATGAGCATTATGCCCGAAATGGTCATTTTCAGGCTAAATTTCCTGGTCTATATAATGGAGTTACCAGGTCTGCCATTTAGGCAGAATGATATCTCCTGTCAAGTTAAAAGTCAAAGCCAGTTTTTCCAAAATTTTATCTATAGGGTGTTTCAGGTGGAGTGAATCAAACTTTAACCACAAATAGAACTGAATAAATAATTAAGAATTGCCTTATAAAGCATGGGTATATGTCTCCCTGTTCACTGCACCGTATTGGTCGATTGTTAAAATCATATTTTTTCGAAATCTTTGGTATGCTTATAACAAATTGATTCTTTGGTGTGGTGTTAACATTTGCACATGTGCATAATTTACTGTAAAAATTTACAAATTTTTGTAGGTCCGTGGCGTAGGAATGGGTAGTAAAGCAGGATTTTTTTACCCCAAAGTCAAGCACAAAGATCACAATTAATGAGATGAAGAAACGTAAGAATCTAAATGATAGTACGCGAAAGTGACAATTATTAGTATAATTAAATTAAAATTAAAATTAACGAAACTGTCGCCATGAAAGATGCCTACTATGTGAAAATGTTAAAAAAAAGTTACTATTCTGAGCCATTATTTAAAAAAATTCTGACTACGCAGAAATCGAAAAAAAGTAGACAGTCTTTCTTCAAAAAAGTCTAATTCATTAAAAAATAATATTATTTGCTTGATAATTCAAAGGAATAAAAAAATTCGAAAAATTCATGTTCAGGGTAGTTAAACTATCCTTATTTATAACCTATTTTGATTAAATTTATGACAGTTAAAGACCCTTATGGTATGATTATTATCTACAATTTTCATTTCATTATCTTAATCAGAAAAAATTATTCTAAAAAATATCCGAAGGATAAGTCCCCTTTGGAGGGCCATATCGCAGTAACGGTGCTCCGGAGGAACAATGTTTATAGGACTATTTTTGTCTCTAATTTTGTGTGAACTTTTCCAAACACCCTGTATATTAGACGATCTTCAAACTTCAACATTTGTCATAAAAATTTCTCGAATCGACTTTAGAGTCACACAAAAACACAAGAGCTCCTATAAAGTATGGCAAAGTGTATCAAAACAACGTCAAAAAGCATTAAAATTAATCAAAACAATGCATAAAAAATTCTTCAAATTGTAACGATCCAACAGTTGGTTCCATTTTCAACCATCAATGGTGTAAGTGATTCTTCTTCAATTTTATACCATTAGATTCAGCCACACTCTTTGATCTTCTGTGTTAAAATGGTTGCCTAATTTTATTAATTAACATCATTACAACAACAATAGCGATGTCTGTGGCGAAACAGAAAAAACTTGTAGAAAAGGATTCGGTTTTAGATTACGTGTGAGAGTGGTTGTAAAATATGGAAAGGGTTTGGTGGACGTAATAATACCTATTTGTTGTAATATCGGCAATCAAGTTAAATATTGAAGATTTTTGTGTTGATTGAATTAAATAATGGTATTTTTACAGTTTTGTGTGTATTTGAGCGGTACTGTGTTTAGCTAACCTTGGGCACAGTATATAAAACAGTAAATTCACTGCCTAATCTAACCTATACAGGGGGTTTCTTAACAACGTGCTAATATTTAAGGAGGTTATTCTTGGGTCCATTTAAAGAAAAAAACTCCATATGAACATATGTCCTAAACGTCTTAACTTTAGAACTACAGGGTGCTAAAGTTTTATGGAAAAAAAATATTTTTTTATGATAACTGGTATTACCCTAGATATTTTTTCAAATTTGGTACACGCCTTCTATTCATGGAGATGCATTTTCTGATGAACAAACAATTTTATTATTTTTGCCAGTGGCGTCTGTACAGGTTTTGTATTGAATATTTTTGAAGAAAAATATGTTACGCCACTGCTTTTTCTTAAGATAAACCGCATAAAAACATTTAACGCATAAACTTGGAATCCATAGGCGTCCAGAAAAATGTTGTCCTGTCTCGTCTAGAAATATATTCCGAGCTATATTCCTATTTAGTTGACGATATTCTCGAGTTTTTTGTAAATAATCTTCCCGAAGTGCGACTATACGTCGTGATTCCATAATTACCACACAATTGTCAAGTTTATATGTTTAAAACCGCATTTTAATAAAACATGTAAAGTATCTAAAGATTTATAATTCAATCGCTTAATTTATCTCGAATTATGTTTAAAGTAGAAACTTTATTTTCTTTATAGATATTATAAATTGTGTACCGTATTACATCTCTGGTAAAATATTCTTTAATTTTATATTTTTCCGTTTCTTCTTTGTACCGTGATTAATAACGTCTCCTTCTTTAATTACGCAATAAACTGTCGTTTTTGATATCTTAGTTAATTCGCTAATCCGTTTCCTAATTTCTTTATCACATTGTTCACTATTTTCTCTCTTAAAACATTCATACACATATATTTAAAATAATACGTTGACTTGGTACGTCTAAATCTCTGTTTTGAATTTGTTTCGACGCTTTGGACAAAAACCGGCTCGACTATTTGGGGATTTTCCCGGGTTATTTCGTTATGTTCCGTTTTAAAGGGTCTCCAGAAAGCCATGCTAAATTACTAGATAATTACATATATAAATTTATTTTAATAACTATTATCCTTTACTGATTACGACATGAACAAATATTAATATTAACTAATAATTAATAATACGTATTATACCAACAATAAATATACCACGCCAAGCACTGCTCTCTACGGCACTGACAAAGCTAAGTGAACCGCGTTTGACACCAAACTAATTATAGGATACTATGCAAAAAATTATTTACGACCTAGTGGACCAATATCGGTTTGCTTTGACCACCAGCGCGCCGCCGTCGATTCTACATAAGGCGGACTGGTCTATCAATACCGGACTCGCCCAGTGGCTACTCGAGTATAAATTAAGAGACACATCATGGCTAAAGCATAGGAAGAAATTTCAAGAGAAGTGCAGACGGACCTGTGCTTTAAGATTGACAGGTTCCAATTGATATCGTAACAACTATACTAACAATATATCATGCCGCGGAAATTAAATCGGCGTGATATTGAAACAATTATTTTATTGTTATTTTGAGATCTATTCTAACTGAGAAAAGTCCGCCATTTAACCACTGAAACCTTCCACATTGAACTGCCAATTATTCAAAAGGTACGAACTTGGAGACTCTAATGTTGGTTGAAAACTGCAATAACCTCGATCGAATCGAAAAATTGCTAAACTTTTTGAGATATTTTGAAATTTGCGCGACGTATTTTCCGTACTTTGAACGTGATCGAAAAGGTGTGTAATTATAATCGTCTGCCTTAAAAATATATTTTATCAGGACGTAATCTTATTACAAAATTATTTAGCGGGAGAGGATTTATTAAGAAACCAGCGACTTCAAAAATATATTTGCTTCTATAATTGATGGAATAATCACAATATCGCAGCATTTTTTACAAATTACTTTTATAGTTATAATTATTTGTTGTAACTTAAACGACGAATTTACTATTACAGTGTCTACTTTCTTCAGACTTTATACCGAGCGATCCAGAATGATTGAAGTCACACGTAAATGCTACCAAAGATATTAAAATTTACTTCTACTGTTCGCCGATTGTGTTTTTTATTTGAATTTACCGTTAATATTCTAAATAATCAGCATTTTTCAACGCTAATCATTTGTACACTGTTAGTTTTGTGGTGAGGAAGCAAATACTGATGGTTTCTTCGATATAAAGCACTTGAACTGTTTTAGGTCAGAAAATGGTTTTTTCCTTAGAAGACGATTTTATTGCAGAGGCCTACTTTCGAAGTGGTCAACGAGATGACAATGGATGGAATTATTCAATCCATTAATGTTTTTTTGCAATTTTGAGGTTAATAATAATAATATCTAAATCATTATTATTTAATTCATACTTTTAACAAGTTAATAAACCCCTCAAATTAATTAGTGTCAACAATCTGCTTCTTGTATTGTTTATTTGTGATTAAAATGAATATGTGACCCTATTGCCACTGCACTTAACCCACCATTGAACGAAGTAAAGCACTGTCAGTGTTGGCAATCACGAAGAGTGAAAATAATAGGAGAGCGGCACACAAAATATTTGTAAGTAGCGGCGCCATCGATCATTCTGGATCTCTATGTATATGTTTACGGTATACAGTTCCAAATGCCAACAACTCTAGTGTTATAAGCAATCAGCCTTATATTGGTTATAAAAAACCTAAATACGTCTGGTATATTAAAAAAAGATCACATTTATCTTGTAATAGTCAAATAAAATAGCAGTATTTTTTCTTGTAGATGCTAAGTATATAAATTTGCATTTAATTTTTGATTTCAAGAAAATATAAACTGGTATTAGTAACTTTAAGGGCTTGGATTTGTTTTCACCCCATTGTTTTCATTTGTTTTCTTCGAACCTTTTAAAGATTGCTGAATTTGTTCGAGAGTCTTTCCTTTAGTTTCCGGTATCAAATAAATTGCCAAAATTGTTGACACAAGACAATTTACAGAAAATAGTAGGAACGGTGAATACAGACCAAAATTGGTAGTGAGTACATGAAATAGTTTGGTAATTGTACAAACAAGAATCCCAAATAGTGCAGTTAAAACACTTAAACCCTTGGCTTTAACGCTGGCAGAAAACAATTCACCAAGCATCAATGTGGGAACAACTCCTAAACCAAATGAGTAGAATAGTACAAAAATCATCATTCCAGTTATTGGGATCCAGTTCAGGAACTTTATATCTATCTGAGTTTCAAATTGGTCTATATAGAAATAAACAGATTCTATAAGTAATACTATACCACAAGTTGCCAAAGAAACTATATACGACAGTCTTCTCCCAAACAGGTCCAAAGTGTAGCCACCTACAAGATTCAAGATGCAAAGCGTACCAACAAATATCATAGAAGAGACTTGTGGGCTTAAGTTTCCTCCAGATTTTTGAAAAATGTATTGCGTATACACAACAAATACCGATATACCACCGAGCTGTTGTGAAATTCTTAAAAAAACACCAGCAAACAAAGCTTTCCTGTTGCTATTAATGGTAAGTAAATCCTTCCAAGTGCCAGATTCCGACATTTGCCGCTCCACGTCGGCTTTTAATAAAATAAAGTCTTCCTCAACGTCATGTTTCTTTCTCAGCCACCTCAGTGATTCCCTGGCTTCTTCAAATCTCCCCTTCATGATGTAAAAATAGGGCGATTCAGGCATAAAGTAGAAGAGGCTGATATGAATCACCGGGAAACAGATGCATATATAAGATGTCTGTTTCACGTCGCAGTAACTACCTATCGCTGTGATTGCGAATTGGCCCAGGTAAATGGCAAAGTTTAAGGCATTCCCCCATACTCCTCTGACTTTAGGCGTGGTTATTTCTCCGATGTACATCGGCACAGAAGCGAACATCAGTCCGTCTGCAATTCCCGCGACAAGCCTGGACGCGTAGAACATCCAAACATTTGTTGCTGTAGCGGTGAGAATCCAGGCAATAATGTGCGGTACGCTGTTTATGAGTATTGTGGGTTTCCGTCCTAGTTTGTCATTTAAATTTGAAAAGAAGATGCTCGTTAGGATCATCGAAATGGGCGGTATAACGGTGAAATATGAGCCTTCTTCTTCGGATATGTCGTAAATACTTTTGTCATTTATGATTTTTAATAGGAATGGCGAGGACCAACTGAAGAATAAGTCACACGTAAATGGAACCAAACACACTGAAAAACAAAAACAGAATTTGTAAATGGCATTTACATATCACAGGCAACATTAAAATTTAAATAATGGTATAATTTTTAATAAATATGGAGAACTATTAAAAATTTAAAAACTTCAAGTGGTTGGCAACTATAAAAATATGCATTATGGTTTTCCTTTTTTGAAGGAATTTAATTAAGATTTGAATAGTTTTATAATGTTTTAATATTAATAAATTATATTAAATAATAAATTAATTAATTTATTGTTAAAAGGCAATAATATAGTATATCAGTCAAGAAACAACCCAATTGAATGAATGAAATGAATATACAGGGTGAGTCATTAATAATGGTACACAGCCTAATGACAGATTGTTAACGTGTAAATATAGCGATTGAGCCAAACATGCCTTAATCAATTGTTCATGCTCATTTTTGTTCTACAGGGTGTTAAAAGTTGAAAAAATATTTTCTTTCTTTATCTACATTTTAAGTATGTATGGACCGATTGTTTTGAAAAAAAGTAGTTTCACGTTTTTTGAGGAGGCAAATACGAATATGCAAATAGTGTTGGGGTCATGTCTAGGGGGCACTAGTTGTACTGTCCTGTCAATGTAAAAATATGTCTAACTTTTTATGTTTTACAATTTTGAATTTTTTAACTAGAAATTGTAATCAATTCAATTCTAAATAAAAAAAGTATACTTGTTACAAATCGATAAACTCAACTGTTTTCGAGATATAGACATTTTAAGTTTTTGAGATTCGACGGGAATTAAATTATTTTTTCCAAAGTAGTAGGCATGGACATAATAAATTGACAGCTGTCACTACAATACCATATTGTTTTCTACTCAATTGGATTAAGAAGTAGTTTTTTCCTTGTCGTTATTTTTTAGAGAAGAGCATATCTTAATAAAAGGCTAAGAAAGTGCATTGAAGTTGCTGGTAGTTAATAATTTGTTAAGATATGCATAATAAAATCTTTAATTGCTGTAATGTTTGTCTTAATTCTTAATTCAGGCTTGGTATCTTAAGACCTGCTAATTTTCTAATTTAATTCCCGCCGAATCTCAAAAACTTAAAACGTCTGTATCTCGAAAACGGTTTAGTTTATCGATTTGTAACTAGTACACCTTTTTTATTTAGAATTGAACGTAGTTCAATAATTTGTAGTTAAAAAATTCAAAATTGTAAAATACAAAAAGTTAGACAGATTTTTACATTGATAGGACAGTATAACTAGCGCCCTCTAGACGTGACCCCAACACTGTTTGCATATTCGTATTTGCCTCCTCAAAAAACGTAAAACTACAAATTTTCAAAACAATCGGTCCATACATACTTAAAATATAGATAAAAAAGAAAAATATTTTTTCAACTTTAACACCCTATAGAACGAAAAGGAGCAATAATTGATTAAGGCATGTTTGGCTCAATCACTATATTTTGACGTTAACAATATGCCATTAACTATGTACCATTATTAATGACTCACCCTGTATAACGTCTTCAACGCAGGTGTGAATGACAAAAAAAAGCAAAAATCTTAGAATTTGTAAAAAATATGTATATTCTTGGAAATTATCTCAATTATTCATGTAAAAATATTATAGGATTTTTTTTTGGAAATGCAATTTTAAAAACAATGTAATTATGAAAAGTCCAAAAAAATCGGTGTAGGAAATTTTTATTTTCTGAAAGACGGTAATTTCTTGCAACATTATGTTTAAAATTGCATTTCTAATAAAAAATTAATATATTTTTTGTGGCAAATAGTTTTCCAATTATTTTTTATTTATTCAAGTTTTCGCAGGTTTATTTTAAACTTTAAAAATAATGATTCAATGGGAAATTCTAGGTTCTTAGTGACGGTGTTTTCCAGTATCTACACCACTGATTGGCAGATTTGTAAAGCAACTTAACAAATTTTTGCCCATAATTACTTAAATCACTATCCTAAGTTTCACGAAGGAAATTAAGACGTATTTAAATAAATGTAATATACTTATTTAAATTTCAACACTCTGTATACACGTGCATAAGAACTAATTTTAATGATTTATGACCTAGAATTGCCGTTAATGTTTGGCTTCGACAGACATTTGTCTAGTTTTTCCCTTGTTCATTTTGTGTTAATTTTGAAGACAGAAATCGTTCTTTACAGTTTAAGTACCATAATACAACTGTTATATTCTACACGTTCGAGTGAAAAAACGTTTAATTATAAATACATTGGGACATTTAAATATTTCTCTTAGAAGCAGATATAGTAGATAATTGTAACTGCGAATATTAATCTGCTAAATTTAAACAGTTTTAGAATCCTGTGACCTCTTTGATTTACCGAGATACTAACTTTACCTTACTAATCCACTTGTACACAATACTAAAAAATTATTCACCTCATAACTCTCCCATTTTTTGTACTGAATTTTATACTTTTATTATTCTCTGTGCGACTCAGGGGTCTTAGTCGATTATAAGCCTCCGATCTAGTTGTCAAAATTTATCATGTGCAAGTGCAATTCGTCGAGCAATTATATTATAATTTAATAAAGATATGATTTATGGTCACTGTACATCTGTGTCAGCAATACACATTTTATAGCCAATATTCGCCTGTTTATCTGCCACATTTAGTATACAATGTACTTTTAAAGTAGTTTAGAGTTCCAACAACGAATAAACCACATTTGTTTCAGTATGACTTTGATATTAAAGTTCATGCCCCAACTTCCCTAAAATCACGCAAAAAGTCAATATATTTATTATATTGTACTTAATGGGGTCTATTTACAGTACGCGCTTAAAATATGGAAAAAATTCAGTAAAAGCGAAACAAATTTTTTTTGGGAAAAATCCTCGAACAGGTCGATTTTTAATTTAAAAAATACATATTTTAGCATAAAAGGCGATTTTCAACCGTCATTTGTTTTCGAGTAATGACGTCATCGACATTTTTTTTCTTGATTCTGAAGGATCGTTTCATTGTCGATCCGACAGTATTAAAATGTTGCCATCTTACATAGGAGTAAATGACGATTGAATGTTAGAAAACCCAAATCAACTAAAATAAAGTAAAGACGTTATACAAATTTAGTTTTTCGAAATGCCTGAAGTTTTTTATGGATCACGTAGGTGTAAATCTTTACAAAATGTCCCTGTCATACCGACTTTCTAAGTATTGTAAGCGAAATAAAAATTATTGTTGAATTTAAAGTATTATGCACATTTAACTGTCACACAAAGAATTGAAATTTTAATTCTTATCGGATGCGGGGATAAGACTAGAACGCAGCAGGAGGTTTGCGATTTATTTAATGAAAAATATCCAGATCGCCGTATCAGCCGATCAACAGTGAGTAAGATAGAATCTAAATTTAGAGAAACTGGCAATGTTGTAGATATTCCAAAACCTGGACGTCCAAGCGTTAGTGAAGATCACAAACAGAACATTTTGATAAGTATGGTAGATAATCCTCATAATACTTCACGATTGGTTGCATTAAACAATGAAATTAAAAAATGAAGTTTTGCCTCAATGGTACAGTGAACCGTCAAACTTGCAGGTATTGGAGTCGGGGAAATCCTCATTGAATGGCGGAGACACATACCCAACACCCACAGAAATTAAATGTGTGGGCTGGATAGTTGACAACAGAATAGTAGGGTCTTTCTTCTTTGAAGGAACCCTTACAGGAGAAAGATATTTAGAGTTTTTACAAAATGACCTTGTCCCAGCGCTTTGCAGTAATTTTTCCTAACGATAATGACCCTGATATTCCTGATGACACCATATGGTTTCAGCAAGACGGTGCACCTCCGCACTATGCGCGCCCTGTTCGAGATTTTCTGGACAATTGTTTTCCTAGGAGGTGGATCGGCAGACGAGGACCTCGAGATCCCCAGATCTTACACCCCTGGTCTATTTATTATGGGGCTACTTAAAGTCCAAAGTGTACGTTAATAGACCACATAATTTAGAAGAACTCCAAAATTATATTATTGATGAAATACACAGAGTTACCCCAGAAATGGTTCATAATGTGCAAGAAGAATTTATACACATACTTGCGTATTGTCAAGAAGTCGGTGGATGGCAATTCGAACACCTAATTTAGGTAGAAAACTTAATGAATTGTATTTGCTTGACATAGGAATTGTTATTTTTTTAATGAATAAAATTTACGTTTTCTAACATTCAATCGTCATTTATTCGAAAACTTTCCTATGTAAGATGGCAACATTTTAATACTGACGGATCTACAATGAAACGATCTTTCAGAATCAAGAAAACAATAGGGGGTTGCTATTTAAAAAAAATGTCGATGACGTCATTACTCGAAACCAAATGACGGTTGAAAATCGCCTTGTATGCTAAAATATGTATTTTTTAAATTAAAAATCGGCCTGTTCGAGGAAAAAAATTTGTTTCGTTTTTACTAAATTTATTCCATACTTTAGGCGCGTACTGTATTTAAAAAATCCATATTCTACGCGCTGGATATGTCATATTAGTCCAATTAAATGGACCTTTAAATCGCAATTTTGGTCAACTTGCCTGAATTTTTGATATAGGTAAGTTAGTTTGAGGTATAATAACAATAAGTCACAGTAATTTTTTTTCAACCCCCGGCCAGGGGTGAAAAAAGATAAAATAAAGGGGGTTTTCAAGACAACTCAAAAAGGGTAAGAGCTATAAAAAAATTTCTTATAAAAATGGTCCATTGACTTTTTCTTGTACTATTAAAATTAACAAATCGAGGTGACAAAACAGCGTTACCTGGACGGAAACCGGCAACCGGCACTTCGCTACGAGAACTAGAAGAGCTCCAGAACCACTCCGGAGACCCCACCGAAGACCTGAGACCGCCATCCGAATCCGAGGAATTAGCCGCCAGGAGCAGCAATCCGGAAAAAATAAGTACATAAATTGTATTTTCCTAGTTCTACTTATCCTGTATTGGTATAAGTCCTGCCGAGTTTGAACTGCTGGACTACTACTACTACTCTTATGTTTTTCGAAAAAAGCCTGATTTTCAAGTAAAACTTAAAGAACTTTTTTAGAACAATGTAATTATGAAAAGCCCAAAAAGTCATTGGTATTGGATTTCTACCTTTTCCGAAGAATACAAATCTCCTAAAAAATTTAAAGCTGCTACGCCTACAATTTTGTTGGTTACTGTTACGTAACTATAAGTTTAGAAAATTTCTGAAATATTTAGTGATAGTGAATTAATTCACATCTATCACGAAAACTATCGATTTGCAGATCCATGTTTATGTAAACGTTTCGACCTATAATCAAATCTATTTTACCATTTCATAATACACTAACAGTGATATTGAACAAATGATATTGACAACAGTTGTCAACATCATTTCAATTGTACTAATAAATGTTCATACATTTTTGTTAGAGAATTGAAAAGTAAATTTAACTCCTAATAGACACTAAAACATAAATATAGTGATACACATACACAATCCATCTTTATAGATTCCGGACAATTTAGATAAAGAAAAAAATAACAATTCCTTACCTATTAGGATCGCTAACACTTGTGGCCAAGTTTGTCCATCGTTATTTATGCCTTTGACATTTTTCTTTTCTGCAACCGCCATCGTCAAAGCGAATATATCACTACAGCAACAGAACCCACCTCAAACATTTTTTATTTAACATTTACCTGCACTTGCTAGGAACTTAAAATACTATTTATCTTTGTTTACCAAGCTTTACGGTGGTCTTTGTTCTACAATTAAGCTTAGATACGTAATAAACAATAAGCTTTTTTGATTTCATCATGTTTTCTACCTACACGTTAAAAAATGATATTATTTGAAAGACAAACATTCATTGTGTATTTAACTATAATGAACGTCGTAAAGGTAATTAATTGGGGTCTTTAAATAGTTCTCATTTCTGATATAGAGATCATCAAATAATAAATGTAAAACTATATGGAATCTTGTAAACAGAGAGACAGACAGGAATAAGAATAGAAAAAAGAATATCACTCTAAATGTTGACGGTAACCTTTGCTCAAACTATTATAAGCTAGCCAACGTCTTTGTGGAACAGTTGCAGAAAAAATGTGCAGTCACTTTGGTGATCGCAAATCTACTAGTTGTGCTACCGATGTAATGCTAAATAACGCTTTTTTCTTTATTCCTGTTGTTGGAAAAGATATGGATTCAGTGATACGTAGAAAAATAAAATTACCACAGTAACGGATCCTTTATCAGTAAGGTTGGTTAAAAAAATCTCTATATAGTTGAGCATATTGCTTTTTTAATTAATCTTTCTGTAAGCAGTGGTCACTTTCCAAAAGTCCTAAAGAGATCGACAGTAGTTCCCATTCATAAAAATAATGATCCCGGGAATATTGCAAACTGTAGGCCTATATCTTTGCTGAGCGTGATCCCCAGAATATATGAACGCGTAGTTTTCGCTTTTATTGATAAGTATAACAGTGTCAAGTTGCCAATATGGCTTTCGAATAGGTAAATCTACCCTATCAGCCGCATGTAATTTTACTGAACAATACACTCAATACCTCATTTGTTGAAAGCAAATTATATAATTTGAGATTTAGGGGGATATTCTTAAATTAGTTGACCCACTATTATTATCATTATTATTATCGTAATCGTAGTCGTTATCGTTATCGTTATCGTTATCGTTATCGTTATCCTTATCGTTATCGTTATCGTTATCATTATCATTATCATTATCATTATCATTATCATTATGATTATTATTATTATCATTATTATCATTATTATCATTATTATCATTATGATTATCATTATCATTATCATTATCATTATCATTATCATTATGATTATCATTATCATTATCATTATCATTATCATTGTCATTATCATTATCATTATCATTATCATTATCATTATCATTATCATTATCATCATCATTATCATCATCATCATCATTATCATTATCATTATTATCATTATCATCATCATCATTATCATTATCATTATCATTATTATCATTATCATTATCATTATTATCATTATCATTATCATTAT